GAGTGACAGTCGAGATGCCTCATAAGGGTTACATGTTTCTATTTTTAACTCTGGGCATACGTGGGTCTGTGAACACAGAGCGCCTCCATGGTGTGTGTGCACACAAAAGTTTTAACCAAGAGGGATCTTTGCTTGCATAAGGAAGAGCTGGGGGAACCCATTTCCCCCCCTTTTATTGTTATGTATTGGGGAAAGATGATATTGAATGTCCTATTACAATAAGTACTACTTTTTTAAAAAAGAAAGAAACAGAACGGTGTGTGTAAGAGAGAACAGATTCAGATTAACACTATTTGTGCTTGTGGGTGTTTTAACCAGAGAGGGTTTATACCTACGCGGCGTGTCCTTATTGCACACGAGAAAGTCAATTTTAGTCAGCGTGTGCGTTTGTTAGAACTGCGCAGACATACATTTGCCTCGTGTGAATTCACGCCAAAGCCGGTTTCTCTCGGCTAAGCCGCCTCTGTGTGTTTGAAGAAGGCAAAGAAATAGTTTTTGCCGAGGTGGTGTATTACGTGCGTTTTCGGGATGCAAAATGTCTGCCCTCCTCCCTCTAGGTGCGCCGGGGCTCGTTTCATTCCTCATGCCCTCAGTGGGGCTGCATGTTTTTGTATTCTCATCAACGTGTATATATTTAATTTCTCTCCCCCCTCCTCGCTTTAAAAAAATCCCGCTTTCTCTCAGCGTGGGAACGTATCCTTTCCCTTCTGTTCTCACGCTCCCCAGACCTGTGGGGGCCACTGTGGGTTCAAGCCCATCATGCCCAGTTTCCCCTGCCTCGCCACAGACACACACACACGCACAGAGGCTGTGGCCCTGTTTCCCTCTGACTGCCGTTCACTGCATCGCTGAAGCTGGTGAGGGAGATATTAAATATTAATGCAGCCTCTTGCAGTCACCGAGCCCAGCCCCCCCCCCACCTCGCCTCAGCACTGCGTACAGGCACGGCGCACCAGTCTCTCCCGAATCAGCGTCCCCTCCCTGGCAGCACGGCTAAGGAGACATCCCCCACCCCACCCGGGACTCCGTAAGTCATCCCCAACCTTCAACGCAGGGGGTCAGGAGAGAGGCACAGATTCCCATCTGGCATGGGGGAAAAAACTAAACTGGCAACCTGGAACTGGTGCCAACGTTCCGCGCCAAGGAAAAGCCCAGTCCTGAGCTCAGAATTAATCATGCAAATGGAGGAGCCCTTTTGCATGCATCCGTTTAACGCAGTCTGGGGTGATCCCAGCTGCAACACTGGTGGTGGTTTGGGGAGACATCTGTTTTACTTAGAAGTTTCGAAGGGGGTTAAGGTTTAGGAAAGGAAGGGGTGCGTGTGATAGGGGGATATTTGCTTCTGGAAGAAGAAAAGAAGGGGCACCTATGGTTTCAGGGTGGAAGAAAGCAAAACACGGAGAGGGGCCAGGGCCATTTAGGTGGGAATTGAAGTTCTGGAACGAGGCAGCAGAATCCCAAGGGGCACGCGTTCTGAGTGAAATCCAGGCCAAGAGCCGCTCTGCTTTCTCAACTTTTATCAGACACCGTCAGTGTACATCTGAGCATTTCTGCACCACCATGAGGACTGGAAACATGCTAGCCTTTTAAAGGAAAGATGCAATAATCCTACCAGAAAGCAAGCCAAGTGTGAGATGTCGCCCCATCCCAAGCATCAGAACAAAATCTTGTCATCAAGGGAGTAGCAAAATGCCCTGTATAACTTATTGTCCTGTCTCCAAAATGATTTCTCCATCCACCCTTTCACTCCACATTTATCTTTCTTCCATTCCCCGCATATCCCAGAACTCATCCATTTACTTTCCATCTTCATGCCTCTTTTTCTGGCATAGACGCACTTCTGTTTGCCTCACACCCCCATTCCCAGTATTCACCCAATCCGTTCACCTTTAAGAATCAACCTGCTGAATGAGACCAAGGCTCCATGTTGTTTGGCATTCTGCCGTCAACTGTGGCCAGCTAGATGTCCCCTCACCACCACCTGGGGCAGCTCAGCAGCAAGTTCCATGTCCTGACGTTTCCTCCAGCATCCATAGGAACACTGATTCCAACCACAGAGTCTCTGTTTATTTCACTTGCTGTGGCTAATGTCCACTGAGAGAGCCGCCTTCTCTAAATTTGTCTAGTTAAAAAGGACACCCATCTGAAAATGCAGATTTATGGTCCATTCTCCCAGGATCTTTTCTTCCTCCTGTAATAGTATGTCCTCAGTGGAAAGGCCACACCAGATTCAACTACTCTACTGATCAGTGCTCCCTTTAAGGTGTGGAGTCTGGTGAGCAAAAATTCTACTTTGTGAGCTACCGGCATCAAAGTTGTGAGCAAGTCATTTGGCTACCGCATAGATTAGTTTGCTCTGGAGCCACCCTTCCTGAGCTAAGACAAAAATGTGTGAGCTGGAGGCTAAAAAACTGTGAGCTAGCTCACACCAACTCAGCTTAGAGGGAACACTGCTACTGATCTTTATGACCTCCTGTGGTTGTGAGTTCCACAGGCCGTTGGCCGATATGCCATTGTGTGAAGAAGAAGAAGAGGAAAAATGTTTGCCTTCAGAGCTACACAGCCCAGTATTTGGGGCTATATATGTTCTGTTCCCAAGAATAATTGTTTATAAGGTACGGTTTTCAGTCCACATGTTGCCCCATCAGATATTGGGGAGAATCATTGGGGATGGGCATATTAAAAACGGAAGAAGCAAAAAAGGGGGCTAAGCCACTACCGGCTCTCTGAGACTTCCCCCACGATCACCCGTGAGCAAGGGCTCGTACCTGGCACAAAGCTACCATGAAGAGTCTCCTTGTACGCCCACCAGTCCTCGTAGGTCTTTGCAGGGACAAACTGCACTGCAGGAAGAGAGAAATGGAAGGGAACGGGTTAATTAGTGGGGAGTCCGGGAGGCAGAAGCATGGAACTTTAAGGGCAAAGTACCTCTGCCTGAAAACCCTGTACGTACATTTGAGTGCTACCCAAATTTTCCTCCAAGTTGGTCAAGGTGGTTCCCTTCCCTCTCTTATCCTCACAGTAACCCCGGGAGTAGAAAAGATTAAGGATTTGGAAACAATGAGCAGTGGCTTAAAGAAGTTCATACCCAACCACAATTTTTGTTAGTCTTTAAGGTGCTACTAGACTCTTTTCTACTGCAACAGACAGACTAACAGGGCTACCCATCTTGATCAATAACCCCGGGGAGGCAGATTCTCAGAGAGATAGTGACTGGCCTATGGTCAGCCAGTGAACTGACTCTAAGGGTGAGCTGGGGTTTGAATCTGGGTTTCAGCAGCCTTCACTGTACACCACAATAACTCCCCTAACAATATCAATCCATCCTTCTGTCCTTGCGCGACTGATATTAGAAAGACTGTAAAAAAAAAAAAAAAAAAGACCAACAGATGGACAAATAGCCAGGAGAAGAAGTTCTGGGACTTCAGGCTGAAAGAAGTTACATCCCCTGGCAGAAAAAAGCCCCAGAGATGAGAGCGACCTGCTTGTGATGGGGCTCATTGGTAAGGGGAAAGCACACTGCACATGCCCAGAGGCACTTTTGTTTTAATTATATTGTTTCATGCCATGTTCTGGGGTGGAATATTCTGGTACAAATTAAACCTTGCTTAAGTCCACATGTAGAAAAATATCAGTGATAGATGGACAAACACACACACACACAGATTAGAAGACAATGACCACATAGATTAGATATGTAGAAAGATACAAAACAAGAGAAGATGGGTGGGTTTCATATGGATACACTGGCCATTGTGGGTAAATTAGGATGTGAGCAAACACATTAACAAAAGGGAAAATAAATATGGGGGGTGGCGACATAAAGATACAGCAGATGATAGATAATAGAAGATTAGATAGATAGATAGATAGATTGCCAACATTCGCTGGATTATGGAGAAAGCAAGAGAGTACCAGAAAAATATCTACTTCTGCTTCATTGACTATGCTAAAGCCTTTGACTGTGTGGATCACAACAAACTATGGCAGGTCCTTAAAGAGATGGGAGTACCAGACCACCTCACATGTCTCTTGAGAAACCTGTATAAGGGCCAAGAAGCGACAGTTAGAACCGGATATGGAACAACTGATTGGTTCAGCATAGGAAAAGGAGTACGACAAGGATGTATATTGTCGCCTTGCTTATTTAATATATATGCAGAGTACATCATGCGAAATGCTGGCCTGGATGAATCACAAGCGGGAATTAAGATTGCTGGGGAAAAGATCAACAACCTCAGATATGCAGATGATACCACTCTAATGGCTGAAAGTGAAGAGGATCTAAAGAACCTCTTGCTCAGAGTAAAAGAGGAGAGCGCAAAAGTGGGCTTGAAGCTCAACATCAAAAAAACTAAGATCATGGCATCCGGCCCCATCACTCCTTGGCAAATAGAAGGGGAAGCTGTGGAAGTAGTGACAGACTTCACGTTCCTGGGATCCCAGATCACCGCAGACTGTGACTGCAGCCATGAAATTAAAAGACGCCTGCTCCTTGGGAGGAAAGCGATGGCGAACCTAAACAGCATGATAAAAAGTAGAGACATCACCCTGCCAACAAAAGTCCGCATGGTCAAAGCAATGGTATTCCCAGTAGTCATGTATGGCTGCGAGAGCTGGACTATAAGGAAGGCCGAGCGCCGAAGAATAGATTCTTTTGAACTATGGTGCTGGAGGAGACTCTTGAGAGTCCCTTGGACTGCAAGAAGAACAAATCAGTCAATCCTCAAAGAAATCAACCCTGACTGTTCCCTGGAAGGCCAGATAATGAAACTGAAGCTCAAATACTTTGGCCACCAAATGAGAAGGGAGCACTCACTGGAGAAGACCCTGATGCTGGGAAAGATTGAAGGCCAAAGAAGACGGGGACGGCAAAGGATGAGATGGTTAGACAGTGTCATCGATGCAACGAACATGAAGTTGAGCCAACTTCAGAGGACGGCAGAAGACCGGAAGGCCTGGAGAGAGCTCGTCCATGGGGTCGCGAAGAGTCGGACTCGACTGTGCGACTGAACAACAACAACAAAGCAGAAATGGTGGTGGCATCTCCAAATCTGCTGGGGGGGACGACGACTCTCCTTGAGAAACATTGGTCTCTTGCTCATCCCAGGATGCCCTGTGCCCAGAGGTCGGTTCACAGACATGCCTGGCCTGATGTGAAGCCTTCCTCCGCCGCATGCATTTGTGAACCAATTCTGGATGTGTAGGGCTGCCAATCTCCAGGTGGGGCCTGGAGACCTCCCGCTTTTACAGCTGATAGCCAGACTACAGAGATCAGTTTTCTTGGAGAAAATGGCTGCTTTGGGTGAGTGTGTGTGAATTCTAGGGCTTTGTGCCATGCTAACCCCTCTCCCCAAACCCTGCCCTTCCCAGGTTACACCTCTCAGACCTCCAGGTATTTCCCAACACAGAGCTGGCAACCCTATAAGTGTGAAGGAGGCTCTACACAAATACAACCAGAAATGTTTCAGTGATGGCAAGAGCACTGCCCCCCCTCAGCTGCTGTGGTGACAGGAACTGATGTCTCAGTGTACCATCCTGTCCACACTAACATCGGAGTCAGTAAACTAGAGGCCCCACAGTCAGATCCAGCCCTTGAGAAAGGCCACTTCCCCCAGTTAACAGCCTGGAGATTGGGGTGGTGGTGGTGGTGAGTGTGGTAAATGGAATCTATAGCCAAAGAAATAGCTAGAGGCCATTTCAGGAGATACAAGTTAATGCCACTGCTTGCTGCATCCCATTATTTTCTCAAAGTGGCTCTTCAGAATTCACAAAGAGGATTTTTTTAGGTCGAAGATGAATTTCTTCCTGTGAGAAGGAGTGGTTAGGGTATTGGACTAGGACCTGAGAGATACCCCCCTCTGCTATGAAGCTGGCTGGGCCTGTCACATACTCTCGCCTCACCTACCTTAGAGGGTTACAACGAGGAAGGGAGAGTCATGGATGTCATTTTAAGCTCTGTGGAGGAAAGGTGAAATAACAAAAGGTATTAGGTTAATATAAATGTACTCGATAGGAAAACTAGTTGCTAGTTAAAGATTTTTTTGTTCCTTAGCTTGACCATCAACCACAAGGGAGACTGCGATGACGACGACAACAACAACAAAATGGAAACTGAGACTTGAAAGGGCAACCATGAAGGAATTAGAAAAGACCCTGAAATGTAAGGATGTGTCACTGAAAAATAAAATAAATAAATAAAATAATAAACCATGAAGGAATTAGAAAAGACCCTGAAATGTAAGGATGTGTCGCTGAAGACCAACATCAAGGCAATTCGTACTGTGGCATTTCCCATTTCCGTGTATAGGCGTGAACGTTGGACAGTGAAGAAAGCTGACAGGAGGAAAACTGATTTCTTTGAAATGTGGTGTGGGAGGAGAGTTTTATGGCTATCGTGGACCACCAAAAAGACAAGTAAGTGAATTCTAGATCAAATCAGGCCTGAGTTCTACCTAGAAGCTCAAATGACTCGACTGAGGCTATTGTACTCTGGTCACATTATGAGAAGACAAAACTCACTGGGAAAGACAATAATGCTAGGAAGAGTGGGAGGCAGCAGGAAAAGGGGAAGACTCCACCTGAGATGGATTGACTCGATCAAGGAGCTCCACGTTGCCTTCTGACACACTTCCGGTGATGTCAGGGGGTGTGGCATATGCAAATGAGTTATGCAAATGAGTTATGCTAATGAGCTCCTGCACTTCTTTTTTTACAAAATGACCCCTGGGGAGGAGAGTTTTATGGCTATCGTGGACCACCAAAAAGACAAGTAAGTGAATTCTAGATCAAATCAGGCCTGAGTTCTACCTAGAAGCTCAAATGACTCGACTGAGGCTATTGTACTCTGGTCACATTATGAGAAGACAAAACTCACTGGGAAAGACAATAATGCTAGGAAGAGTGGGAGGCAGCAGGAAAAGGGGAAGACTCCACCTGAGATGGATTGACTCGATCAAGGAAGCCACGGCCCTTGGTTTGCAAGACCTAAGCCAGGCACAAGACCTAAGCCAGTCTCTCAAAGGTGGGATGTTTTGGAGGTCAATCATTTATAGGCAGGGGTCATTTTGTAGAAAAAGAGGTGCAGGAACTCATTAGCATAACTCATTAGCATAACTCATTAGCATAACTCATTAGCATAACTCATTAGCATAACTTATTTGCATGTGCCACACCCCCTGACATTACCGGAAGTGTGTCAGAAGGCAACACCCACCGCTCAGACGCCACTGGACTGTTTTGGGGGAGGGGCTGGGGGAGCTCTGCAACTTACCTGGCTGCTTCTTCCTCTGACTGAGGGCTGCTGGGAGCAGGGGGTGGGGCTTGTTGCATGTGCCCGTCCCCTGGGCTCTTTACTGCCAGAGCTCCACTCCTGTGCGCTCCTGCAGGAAATGACCCCTGTTTATAGGGTTGCTGTAAGTCAGAAAATACTTGACAAGGCGTAACACACCCACACCCACACACAACCAGGGCACTGATGTTCCTCAGCACGGTTGTATACTCATGTATACTATCAGCCTGGGGAGACAATAAGCTTGAGCGTGTGAACCTGCCTTGACAAACTGCTCCTTCCAAAAGAACTCAGTGGCCTTAGTCAGCGGACCAAGTGCAAAAAGAAGGAAATGTAAATATTGTGTCTGGCGACTTCCTTTGGATACTGTCCCAGTTTATTCTACTAGCATTTAGATAAGTGGCAATAAGGGAGAAAAGTGGGCCTGGGGAAAGCAGTCACTTCTGGGAGGCCAAACTCTGCTTTCGGGTTAGGGAAATGGCAGTCTGTGGGGAGGTGGGGCAACATTTCTGGAACAGGAGGACTTACCCGCGTTTCTCTGCCCCCTCCCCAGCCCTGTTACATCACTTGAAGGTTCAGATACATAGAGAAGTAGTAAAAAGGTAAAAGGCTTTAAATGAATCCACAGAAGTAGAAAAGATGGTGTCAAACTGGCAGATAATCAAGTATTTTATTTTATTATTTTTTGTATTCATAGCCCACCCTTCCCGTAAGCGGGTTCTGGGTGGGTAACAACCTTCCAGTAATACAGTAAAATAATTAAAAATTAAAAGCACATAATAAACATTAAAATGGAGGTCATAAAAAAGCTGTATTTGTGAATGGGTGTATAATGAAGTCAGGGGCCAGCACATTGAGGAGGCCTTTCTCACTGAACGGTGGCTTTTGTTATTATGCTTCTTTGGCCAGCTTGATGAGAGCTTTATCCAGGCTTTTGGCAGTCTGCAGGTCGGTAACCCCGTTGAGGTGAACATCTCTTGCCTATGGTGCTTTTGCACCTGGATACCCCCTGTGAGAAGAAGACAAGATCCATGCACATCTCTGCTGTGCCACCTTAAGGCTGAGGTTCCCTAGTAAGGAGGCAAAGCTTCGAAGTTTATTCAAAGGGAAGTCCCGCCCAGCGCTGCCTTCATTGGATTGGTTATCGCAAAATCAGGACTCCTGGGTCCCTTGGGAATGAAGTGAAATTTAGTAGGTTAGGCGAGAAGGGAAGGGCTGAGAGCCACGATTTCTCGCTTCTCGGGGAGGGAACGGAGGTTTATTAGTTCGAGAGCCGAAAAGGGCTGGGAAATCGCGTGGCTAAACAGATGCCAAGGCAGCGTTTGTACTGTGGGTGAGCCTTCTACCGGGAAGTCGTGGGTTCAAATGATGCCTCAGCATTGCAGTCACTCCATCGCCATAGGCAACTCTCTGCGCCTCCGCCCCATACGGGGATAGTCATACCTTGCAGGGTTCTAAGGGTTGCAACATAACGAATAGGAGACACTGAACTCTCGAAGGCCCTGCACGTTATGATTCATGAGCAGATGAGGGGACTCAGTAGTGGGTTAAAAAGGGGGGGGGAGTGTGGAGAGAGACTCCTGGGAGCCAAGAGTTATTGGTTGGGGAAAGGGAGGGCAGTCTTTCTCAATTAATGTGGAAGGCAGGATAAGTGATCTAAACCCCCTTCCCCCCCCCCATCAGAGCTCTTCTGGCTTTAGCAAAACAAGCAGAAATCCTGTTTTTGGAGAAACAAGCAGAAATGCAAACCAAACAGACATCCAGTTGCTGTGCCTCCACACAAGGGGGGGCACCTGTAGAATTGTTAGGAAAGGAGGGGGGAAAGTGGGGAGGGGGCAGGACCCTTCTGACAAGGGAGTGGGTGTAAGAGAGTAATATACCGGAGGAAGGTGAGTAAACTAGATTGGTCCAGCAGCATCAGTGCGACACGCTTTACGCATGCTTGTGTGTTACTTAATCTCTTATTGCCTGGTTACACAACACTCCATGATTTTTTTCAGCCTGAATTCCTCTCCATTGAAAATCCTCTTCATTGTATTTGAGTTGGCATCGGGTGATAACGGGAGCCCTCTCGGGGGCAATCACTCTGCAATGGCTTATTCGCACATGTAAGTCGGTTATAGCCCAAGTGGGTGAAGGGAGAAGAAAAAAAGAGACGAGAAGAATCCCGTTGGAAGAAGAAACAAGTGCCAGCAAGTTAGGCTGATGGATGCCAACTGTAGTCCTGGACTCTGCTCCTGTGCCCTTCACTCCAGTTCAATATGAATTATTTTGTGGGTGTTGATGTTGATGTTTTTGCTTAATTTCTGGTAAAAGAAGCAAAACAAGAAACACCACTGACTGAAAATAAACAAGTATATAATAATCATCTAAGCATAACATATACAAAGCCTCCTTGACTAACCAGGCTTTGTATATGCCAGCTCTTGAGATTGGGTCCCATTACAGCCATGCTTGAATAAGAATTATTCGAAACGCGGCATCAGGCATCCGGATTACGCGTCGATGATATACACTTCAATGATGATATATACTTCAATTTGGACTTTGATGATTGATATTTGCTTCTATGCTGGAACAAGACACATGGAAAGACTGTAGATGGTGCTGCTTCTTATATGTTTCATTACTGCACCTTGGCCAAATGATTTACATTATACTTGATGTTATGCTTATATGATTATTATATACTTGTTTATTTTCAGTCAGTGGTGTTTCTTGTTTTGCTTCTTGTACTGTACACTGGCTTCCCCTTTTTTTGGCTAATTTCTGGTAACGGCACACGAGCGGGCCAATTCAGGGGGTTTTTTTGTTTTTTGAGGGGGTGTCACATGGCAACCTAGTTTGATTGATCGAGGAGATAATACTTGCAGCCGCTTTGGCAGAAGAAGCAGGTTCTGTGTTAGAAGGCAGGGCCTCAAGATATGGGAGAGTTCTGGCACCCAATAAGCAGGCAGAGTTGCTACCCTTAAACTGGGGTCACTCTTCTCCACAGGAGGATGTGCCAAAGCTCTACTCTCGCCGCATGAGCCCTCTTGTCAAGAGAAAAGGAGCTGTTCTTGCCACGTCACTTGGGAATGGACAGTTGCCCATGTAGTGGGTTAGCTTAGCAATGAGAGCCAGGACTCCGGGGCTTTCTGGCAACTGTTCTCCAGAGCAATTAAAATAGAGGGGAGGGGAGGAGGAGGCCGTCTTCCTGGAAAGGAAGAGACTACTCAAGGGGCGGCCTGGGAGCCACAGTTTAATTCTTGTGCGGAGAGTCTCCTACTTAGGGGGGGGGGAATAGCAATGTTCTGAGGTAAACAGTTCAGCAAAATGCTTATTCGATGATTACATGGGGACAGGAAGAAGCCGCTTGAGGTAAGGGGCGGATAGAGTGTTGTGATTGCAGAGCTTGGGTGTGTGCCTGGCTTCAGCACGTGAGAGAGCTGTCCATAGAGAGATGTGACCTTGATTCTGCCACACTGGCTCCCTTCCCCCCAAGGAACAAAACCTCCTTCTGTACTTTCCTGTAGCCGGTAGTCTAGATTCTCTGTCATCACATTCGACTGCAAAGAACCAGGACGCGAGAACCAGAAGAGGAGGCCGGAGGGGACCGAGAAAGCAGGCTCTGCTGGGGATCCAAGCCTGGGAGAGGTGGGTGGTTTATCTCCCTGGGGGAAAAAAGCAAAGGGAGAAAATACAGGGAATCACAAAAGAGCGGGATGGGTGGGTCTCACCCTGCAAGAGCAGAGGAGAAGTTTGGTTTCACACAGCTCCCCATTTCTGCAGGAGCTACTGGGACGCCAAGAGCTCTTTTCTTTTGTTCATTTCTAGTCAGTGTTGCTATTACAAAACTCCCAAGGCTATTAGATGCAGTCGTTATAGTCCATTTGGGAGATGCAGTATGATTTGATCAAAGATGGTCATTACTGGGGGGGGGGGACTATGTCTTGTCCGAGTGGAAATACAAGATGGGATACAGTCAAAAGTTGACTTGGCACAAAGACTACTTGCAACTAGTGTCAGGTGTTCCTGTTTGCACAAGAGTAGAAATGGGAATTTTAGGGATGCCAGTCTCCAGGCGGGACCTGGGGATCCCCTGGAAATACAGCTCATCTCCAGACTACAGAGATCAGTTCCCCTGTAGAAAATGGCTGCTTTGGAGGGTGGACTCTGAGCCCTTGGGCCCCACTGAGGTCCCTGTCCTTTCCAGGCTCCATCCTCAAATCTCCAGGAGTTTCCAACCTGGATCTGGCAACCCTACCCCCCCATCCCCCGTTGGTGGCCAGGGGTGACCTGGCAACTCTAACTTATACCTTGCTTTTCCAGTTGAATTGGCACTCCATGCAGGTTGGAATTCAAGTCTATTACTCACTTTTATCGATCCTGTCCTCCCAAGGCTCCATCCCCAAATCTCCAGGTTTGGCAACCCTGCCCCACCATCTCTTGCCAGTGGTCAGGGGAGTCCTGGCCCCCCTTATGCGGGATACAGCCCAGTCCCTTTCCTGCCCCCCACCATATGCACCTCCAATACTTGTCCTATTCCTTCCCCCTTCTTTCCCAGCTGTGGGAAGTGTAGGGTTTGTATCTTTTTCTACCTTTCTTTTCCCCAACAAAAGGCCCATGGCAGGACAGGCGACAGGTGCCATAGAGTACGGTGGAATAACCCTCCCAGGCCTTGTCCATACCGAGGCAAGTGTTCAGTATGCCCATCGGAGCTTCCAGGTGCGCGACAGCGATGTCTTCAACCTCACATACCCCAAATCTGGTGAGACACCCTTCATGCCTGCCTTGGGTTTTCAGGCCTGAAACAGGGAAGTCCTTGGCACGGTGCATGGTAAGGCACCTCAGCTGTACAGCAGGCAAGAATTCCAACAGGCGCAGCTTTTCTAGTGAGGCGGGAAGCAGCACCTGTTGAACTGCTGCACATCAAGCTGCTGTTGAAAGGCAAAGGAGCCTTGCCAGCCAGGAAGCATGAGGTCACTGTAACCTGGATGCATGCCTGAAGTCCAGTGTTCCCTCTAAACTGAGCTAGCTCAGTTTTGTAGTTTCCGGCTCACACCTTTTTGTCTTCGCTCAGGAAGGATGGCTCCAGAGCAAACTAATTTATGCAGTAGCCAAATAGCTCACTTGCAACTTTAATGCCAGTAGCTCACAAAGTAGAATTTTTGCTCACCAGACTCCACAGCTTAGAGGGAGCATTGGTCTAAAAGTTTCCAAAAAGCTGAGCACGGCTGGGTGTTCCTTTCGGATTCGAGGCAATCAGTGAAGAATGTTTTTTCTCGTCCCCCTCCCCGCCCCCAGGTACGACCTGGATGCAAGAAATTCTCTCCCTGATCTATAGCAATGGGGATCCCACACTGTCGCAGTCGGTTCCCTCCTGGGAACGGGTCCCCTGGATTGAACAGAAGACGGCAGCCGAATACTTGGAGAACCGGCCGAGCCCCCGTCTCATCACCTCTCACTTGCCCCACTCAGTCTTTCCAGAATCTTTTTTTGCCTCGCAGGCCAAGGTGACTCTATGAGTGGTCTGTAGTGGGGCAGAGAGCCAATTGGATTGTATAGATTGGGAGGCGGCGGGGGGCGGGCAGTGTGGATTGGCACCCCCTCTTGAGGCCTGTTTAGGGGCCTTTCCCTGGTGACTGTGCCTGTGTAGAAAGGCCTCCTCCTGGGTTTAGCACCACTGGAATGAAGTTGTTCCAACCCCCAACAACCTTTTCTCCCCCCAGGCCATTTATACTGTCCGGGACCCCAGAGATGTCTGCGTCTCACTCTATTATTATGCCAAGATGTCCTCATTTCTGGAGTACAAGGAGGATTTTGGCGAATTCATCGAGATGTTTGTTGCAGGAAAAAGTACGCTGGCAGAACTGGCAGCCGGGAATCCTGAGGTCTCTGGGGAGGCTGCAGGACAGAGTATTTTTGTTTGTGTGTGACAGAGGAGAGAGAGTGGACAGATGAGACTCACCTTCCCCTTTCAGCCCCACACTGTGCTCCGCTTGGGATTCCCTTCGCCGCTTTGCCCTCTTCATACTTCCTTCCTTTTCCCTCTTGTGAAATAAAGTTTTCCAGAGTGCTTGACAATTCTGTACTATTCTGTACTATTTCTGATGAAACCTGCCAGTGGTTTCTTAGGAAGTCACGGGACTGACCTACATACAGGAAGGGTACAATACTGTTGGGAGATCTGATTGGTCTGGTCTTGTTTCATAGTCACCTAATGTGCTCTGCTTGTGATTCCCTTAGCCGCTTTGCCCTCTTCATACTTCCTTCCTTTTCCCTCTTGTGAAATAAAGTTTTCCAGAGTGCTTGACAATTCTGTACTATTCTGTACTATTTCTGATGAAACCTGCCAGTGGTTTCTTAGGAAGTCACGGGACTGACCTACATACAGGAAGGGTACAATGCTGTTGGGAGATCTGATTGGTTTGGTCTTGTCTCATAGTCACCTAATGTTGCATCATAGTTGAAGCAACCATGTTATCTTTTAGCACTCAGCATAATATCAATTCTATCATAGGATTCTTTCATGAACTATTTTCCAAATGTGCTTATGATAGGGGTGCCAGCCTCCGGGAGGGACCCGTGATAAAAGTAGTCTGTACCAATGCTCCCTTTAAGCAACGGAGTCTTGTGAGCAAAAATTCTACTTTGAGCTGCTGGCATTAAAGTGGTGAGCGAGCGATTTGGCTACCACATAAATTAGTTTGCTCTGGAGCTGCTCTTCCTGAGCGAAGACAAAAATGTGTGCGCCGGAGGCTAAAAAACTGTGAGCTCGCTCACACTAACTCAGTTTAGAGGGAACACTGCGTGGAGACCCCCTGGAATTACAGCTCATCTCCAGACTACAGAGATAGATCAGTTCCCCTAGAGGAAATGGATGCTTTGGAGGGTGGACTCTGCGGTATTGTAGCCCAGTGAGGTCCCTGTCCTCTCCGGGCTCCATCCTCAAACCTCCAGGGTTTCCCAACCTGGATATGGCACCCCTAACCCCCCTCCCCACATCCCCCACTGGTGGCCAGGGGGGACCTGGCAAACCTAACTTATACTTTGCTTTCCCAGTTGAATTGGCACTCCATGCAGCTTGGCATTCAAATTTTTATTGATATTATGTAAATCTACTCAGTCTGTCCTTGGGCTGTTCATTGCTTGCGTGTGGTTGAACTTATGGGGTGGATCCAGCCCAGTGCTTCTCTTATGTTCCTGGAAAGGCTGCAACTAGATCCAACCCGATGGTCCCTGGTGTACAAGATTTTAGGCAGTTAATATTTTTTATTTTGTCTTTAAAATTTCTATTTTTTAAAAAAACAACTAACGAAAACAAAACATCTTCTCTCTTGCATCTGCATCCCAGTTCTCTTTGGTTCCTGGTTTGATCACGTCAGAGGCTGGTTGACTTACAGGAACTGGACAAATTTTCTGCTTCTGACCTATGACGATTTGCTGCAGGTGAATGACATTTAAAAAACAAACAAACAAACCCTTGCTCCTCATTCCCTGCTGCCCTGGGTCCAGGCCTGGTCTCTGGCCCTCTAGCTCCAACTCATGGTCTCCCATTTCGCCCAGAACCTTCATGGCACCGTCCTCCGCATCTGCCAATTCCTTGGCAAAGACTTAGATGGCTCCGCTGTGGACTCTGTTGTGGCAAACGCCTCCTTTGAGACAATGAAGGGCAACAAGATGGTGAATTATAGCCTCATCTCTGAAGAGATTATGGACCAAAAGGTCAGCCCCTTCCTCCGAAAAGGTAAAACTGAAGCTGACAAGCTTTACAG